ATGTTACAACACCCAAATCAAGGGTTCAGATCCCCATACAGCCAGCCACCAAAAAAAAAAAAAAAAGATTTTTAGTTACAAGGGACAGAAACATGGCTTATACTGTCTAGGTAAGCTCATACTGTCCAATAGAAGTGTCCACTGTGGCGGAAGTGTTCTATTTCTGCACCGTCCAAATATGGTAGCCACCAGCCAAAAGTATAAATCGAGCACTTGAAACGAGCCTAATGCAACCGGGAAACAGAATCTTTTAAATTTTATTTAATTTTAGTTAATTAAACTTTGAACTTAGCCACAAAGTGCTAGTAGCCACCTCATTGGGCTATGCAAATCTAAAACACAAAAGGCTCATTGGCTCATATCACTGAAAATTCTAGGCACATCTGACTTCAGGTAGGGCTGGATTCAGGAATTCACATGATGTCATCTGGGCTTGGTCTTTCCATCTGTGGCTGTGCTTTCTATGACATCTTTGTTGTGCAGGCTGGTTCTCTTCATGTGACAGGCACGGTAGCCATGGGCTGCCCCTAACTCACATTCCTTGGTTTCAACCGAAGTCCCGCAATTGAGCCTCATTGGTCTGGCTTAAGTCACATTTCAGTGTCTGGAACAGAGGGGTGGGAAGACCCCTCAAGAACTGAGAGTAGGAAAGGGGTGGTTCCCCATTAGAAAAATGAGGTGATATACCCAGAAGTAGTGTCAGGGAGTGGGACATTAAAGAGATGCCATGAAGGCAAAATAAAGCAAAACAGATGCCCACTCACCATAGATGAAACTTACCGTGGTAAGTGTTGAAATAAGTGTTAGCCATTTTCATCATAGTAGTGATAGCACAGAAATCTGAACCAAGAGTCTTAGAATCATTTAGCTCATCAGAGAGCATCTAATCTGGTTTTAGTAAATACATAGCACATGTGACTCAATGACTTTATCCTTTGCCCATAGGAGACAATGCTAATCAATCCTGCTACTCTCCCATGAGTCTGGCTGTGACCTTAGCAGCTTTCTCTGTAAAAGTCTCTCTTCAGTACCCCTGCCTGGGGACCAAGCTAAAGAGGGATTCTCTGGGTCTAGGGCAGGTGGGTCTAGGGGACGGAGTAGATTTTGCTGAGCTCCCACTGTATGTCTAGCACTGCCATTTCCTCCGCACCACACCCTGTGACGTAGAAGTTATTCTCTCCACTGGGCACGTGAGACACTGAGGCTGAGAGAGGGTGTGTGACTTTCTCGGACTACATAGCTGTTGGTGACAGACAATGGGTTTGAGGACAGTTCTGTGTGTCCCAGGAGCCTCTGCTTTTCCCTGGCTCCCCAGGTCCTCCCAAGGAGGCTGGACTTGCCCTGAGACCACCCTACTGTTGCAGGTGCTTCCTCAAGCCTAGCCCATGTGGCCCAGCATTCATTCCTCGTCACCCCCCAACTCCCAACAAGAACAAAGCCTTGGGGAACCTTTTTGAACTAAAAGTGACACTTGAGGCTTTCCTGTGGAGTTAAGCGGGCAGCTGGGTCCACCACACGGGGAAGCGGGGGGGCTGGGGTGGCCACACAGCTGCTGTGAGGAGCAGAGGGAGGGCCTGGCCGGGCCTCCCAGGTGTCAGAAAGTTTGGCTGTGAGTGCCAGCTCAGTCCCCAGCCTGCTGCATGACTTTGGAGTGGTCAGTAGTCCCTCTCTCTCTGCAACAATCTTGGAAGGATTTCCTGTGAAAATGGGAGTTGTAACACCTTGGGTTTTGAGGCCTTGTCCATTCCTAATCTCCAGCACTTGGACACAGAGTCCAGCTCACTTGGACACAGAGTCCAGCTCTCAGGACTTGGCCATATGTGCCACCCCCTCTGTTCGGCATCCCTGTGAGTCCACAGAGTCCAGCTCTCAGGACTTGGCCATATGTGCCACCCCCTCTGTTCGGCATCCCTGTGTGCCTAAACTCTTCACAGTCGACCCTGTGGAGGCTTCGAGTTTCCCGCAGTGCTTGCAGCCTAGGAGTTGAGATGGCCAGGAACTAGGTGGTGACCACTGCCTGCTTAGTGCTGTGATGGGGGAATCCTGGGGAGCTCAGAGGAAGCCCTGGGGACCCAGCCAAGAGGACAAGGAAGGCTTCTGGAAGAAGAGACCTTTGGGCTGGGTCTTGAAAAGAATTAGGGTGGCAGAGTGGAGAAAGTGAGAGGTCACTCCATGCCGGGAGAGCAGCAAGAGCAGAGGCCAGGAAGCCAGGGCGCTGCTGAGAGGTTCTGTGTGGCTGGGTGAAGGGTTTGTGGGTGGGAGTGCAGGGGGCTGCGGAGGCATCTTCCTCCTCTGAGCCACTTGCTGTAGGCTTCTTGAGGACAAGGAGTGTCACACTCAGTGCAGATCCTAGTGGAGTAATCCAGCAAAATAAATGTTTGTGGAATCAATGGGCAAGCAGTCAGATAGCCCTGGGGAGACAGGACTCCCATCAGGGGAGACGGCTGCCATTTCCCCTCCCTCAGCGTGACCCCCATAACATCCCTGGATGGCTTGGGTGTCCGCAACTCTAGCTCACTGCACGCATCCGAAATCCTGGTGCTCAGTGAAGGTGAGCTGTCTGGGGAAGGAGAAAGGCTCTTGGAGGCATGAGCCCGACAGAGAAGGGACAGTGGCATCCCAGCAGAGGAACAGCACAGGCAAAGGCCTGCTGGGGTGCAGTTTAAGGAGTGGTGGGGAGGAAACGGTAGATGAGCCAGAAAAGGACTTTGGGGCAGGTCATGGAGGGCTTGAGCGGCTGTTTGGGCTTTATTCTCACAGCGGGGAGGAGCCCTTGACCACCTGTGGCTTAGATCAGTGCTTTGGGAATCCCACCTGCAGATGCTGGGCACCCCACGCGCCGGGCTGCAGGGCCTGGGGAGGGGCTGTTTGTCCGGGGGTCAGGGGAGGCCTGTCCGGAAAGACACGGGAGTCGAAGGAGCAGGCCGCGTGGACGCCTCAAGGAAGACGGTTCAGGAGAGGGCGCTGTCGATGCGCCTGGGCCGGAGGCGCCGGGCAGGGGCTTGATGTATTTTGGGAACACCCTGGAGGCCAGGAGGGGCGTGTCGCAGGCCATGACAGAGTTCTGTCCTCAGTGTGATGGAACACCGCCAGAAGGCTTCCTGACGGGACTGACGGCGTCAGGGCGGAGAGCGTGTGGGGAATGGCCGCGGGGAGGAGCGGGAGCGGGAGCGGTGCAGGAGGCCGCGCGGAGCAGGACGGCACAGGCCGCCCCAAGCCTGCGGCCGGGGATCCGAGGGCGAGTCGCTGGGACTCGGTGGCTCCGTGTCGGGGGCAGGAGCGACACCAGGAGGTTAAGGAGGGGACAAGGAGCAGCTGCAGTGCGACGTGCCACCGCAGGCGCTAAGACCAGCAGTTGCTCCCTCCGCGCGGGCGGGGCTGTCGGCGGAGGCTGCTTGCCGCCGCTCCACAGACCGGGCCCCCCATGTCCCCTCCGCCACCCCGTGCGCCACCTGGCCTGCGCGTGCAGGTTTGTGTAAGACTCCGTGATGCTGGCGCAACAGCGAAGCCGCCTGACGCCTTGTCTCGCAGAGCGTATCCCGTCGGCGGCACGGCCGTTTCGCTTCTCGGCCGCAGCCGGTCTCAGCAGCCGCGGGAGGTACGGGCTGTGGGTCAAGGCTCGGCCACTAGAGGGCAGCACAGAGCCGGCCTCGCGCAGCCCGCGGGACTACCGCGGAAGGGGCGTGGCACTCAGGGATGACTGCGCAGGCGCGGGGGCGGTCCCCTGCATGGCTGCGCCTGCCCGCCCAGGGGTGGCTGTGGATCTAGTGGGCAAGGCCCTGGGGTCAGCTCCCAGCTCTGCCCCACTAGCTCCGAGGTCCCAGGAAGTAGAGGTGGGGTGCGGAGTCCTTCCCGGCGTTGTCTTTGGCATCAAGAGAGGTGATGTGTGTGAAGTGCCCGGCACGCAGTCAGACGGTTCTACCCGGGCAGCCTCACACTTTTCTACATACCACCTGTCTGCATCTGACTTACGCACGTCCCACCCCTCCCTGGCTTTGCTCCCCTTGTCTGGAAGGTCCTATCTGAGGTCTCTGTGGATGTTAGCATCTCCTTCAAGGACTCACTCTGAAGTTACTGCTTCCCCGAAGCCCTGAGCACTCTCCCTGTCTTTGTGTCTCCACCCCAGCCTCAACATGTCCTGCCTGTCTACTAGCTGCTTGGGTCCTTCTCTCCACCACCTCAGAGTGGAGAGGGTGGCTGCTTTGACAATTTTGGCATCTATAAAATGGGAATAACAACCTCCACGTTGCAGGGCTATTTTGAGAATCATATATATAAAGAACCTGGCATCGGACCTGGGCTCGTCCTTGATTTAACTCCCAGCTCAAGTCCTCAAGTTACTTCATCTTCCTCACCTCGATTCTCCCTGGAGCTTGGGGACAGTGTTAGCTACTGTGCTGGGCCATGGTGAGGTCTGACTGAGGTGTTTGTGCCAGACTGGAACTGTGATCGGAGGGAAAGTTGCTCACTTTGACTACTGCTCTGTCTCACACAGGCCACCTACATCTACATGAAGGCCGCCTACCTCACCATGTTTGGAAAGGAGGACTACAAGCCGTTCGGGGATGATGAAGTGGAGTTGTTTAGGTGCGTCCCACTGTGGCGCTCCCATCATAGGCCTCAGCTGTGGACAGACCAGCCAGGCTCTGCCCAGGCCACCCTGAACTGAGGGTACCAGGAAGGGAGGTGGTGGGGTAGTCATCTCCCTTGGCTCTGGGCTTCCTGCCCTGCCCCAGGATCATCCTATGCACCCATTGTCCCTCCCATTACTGCCTGTGCTGCTGCTGCTGCTGCTTGTTAGAACCCTTTGAATCTGCTCAGAGGTTCTTTCACGAAAGCAGTTTTGTCAACAGCCTCTATCACTGAGCCTCTTTCATCTATCTGGTCAGTAGGACAAGTGTGGACACTGAGGTGCAGAGAGAGGACCTTCCATTCTGCCGAGTTAACCTGATACACTCAGAGAAGCTCAGAGAGCCCAAGATTTGGAATCAAACAATTAAACCCAGCCATTTTTTACCTGTTTCACCTTGGACAGTTCCAGCATCTATAAAATGGGAATAACAACCTCTATTTTGCAGGGCTATCTTAAAAATCAAATATATATTTAAAGAGCCTGGCATAGGACCTGGAACCAAGTAAGCTGCCCACTAAGTGGTGGCTGTTTTCATTCTTCTCTATACCACCATGTTTGCCTCCTGTGAAGCCTCCTTGGAGGCTGAGGATGGAGCCTAGAGCCTTCCCTCAGTCATTGTGAGGTTGGCCCCAATTTGCAGAAATGGATGTTGGTGTAATATGAGTTTCCTGGGCCACTGTTATCATAATAGGGTGCTTGTCATGAATGGAGTGCCTGCTACTACAGCCAGCTCCAGGTCCCCATTTCATATAACTCTACCAGAAAGCCTGTTAGGGTAGATATCATGATCTCCATTTCAGAGTTGAGAAAACTGAGGCCCAGAGAGGTTTCACAGTGAATAATCAGGGGAAAAGTTTGGGGGACCCTCACACCTTTGTCTAGCTGTTTCTTGAACCTAAACGGCTGAAGCCTAAAGTCACAGCCACACCCCGTGACAGTGGCAGAAATCAGAGGGTGGGATGGAGCTGGGTGGGTGAGGCTCGCCCGGCTGCACACCACATTTTGTTCTGCCCTTGGAAGCAGCTGAGGAGGCCACAAGTTACGAGGCAAGAGTTAATTAAGGGTTTGAGCAGTTTGGTCTCAGGGTGTTGGTCTCCACAGTGAAACTGGGATTAAACTTCCCTTGGGCCCTCCTGGGAAATGGGGCCTGGGAGTGGAGGAGAGAGAACTAGGAGGCAGGACGGGCCTGGGGCAATTGGGTACATTCTCACCTCTGCCAGTTGGTGTGGAGGTGCCCTGGCCTAGCCACAGGAAATGGCCAGGTCTTGGGGCAGGGTCTGTGAAATAAGGCCATAGCCACAGGCTGTTTCAGACCTACAAGGCTCTTTTGAGTCTGACACTCTCATCATACAGATGGGGAAACGGAGGACCAAAGAGAGGCCAAGCAGAGGCTGGGTGGGCTGGGGACCATCAGTCCTCTCACTTTTCTCATCCTCTCCCTGGCCTCCCTGTCTTTTTTGCAGAGCTGTGCCAAGCCTGAAGCTCAAGATTGCTGGGAAATCTCTACCCACAGAGAAGTTTGCCATTCGGAAGTCCAGACGCTACCTCTCCCCCAACCCTATCTCGTTGCCAATCCCTGCTCTGGTGGGTAGGACGGTCTGGACTGGTCAGGCCCAGCAGTTTAGGATTGTGGGGATTAGCTGAGAGTCACTGCTGGATGAAGGAGAAAGAACTTCATGCTTCAGGGGCTTGGAGAGGGTTTCACAATTCACCTGGGACGGAGGGGAGGAGCACAGATGAGTCTGCCCCTGCCCCTTAGAAAGTGCTGGTCGTTGGGGGAGGTGGGTGGAGACAGGGAACAGGCCAGATACCTGGCAGAAAGCACAGCTCTCCTAGACAGCCCTACCCTCCATCCCCAGGCAGAGGCATCACCAGGCTGGCTGTTCCCAGCCTGTCTGTTTCAGTCTTGTCACCATGATCGTAGTTGTTTACACTGTCCGCCTCACTTGAACTAGCAACAATAACAATAATAGCCCACACTGTTAGTGGACACTTACTGTGTTCAAGGCTCCTTATACCCACTGCCTGTTGCCTCATTTGAGCCTCACATTAACCCTTTGGGTAGGTGCTCGTCATATCCCCATTTTACAGAAGGGCTCATAAAGACTAACAGATAAGTAGGAAGGTAAAATAACTTGTCCAGGTTGCAACTAGTAAGTTGGAGAGTTCGAATTTGAACTCAGCAGTCTGGCTCCAGAGCCCATGTTCTGAGCCACTGTCATGGTGCCATGCAGGATTTGAGTAGGCATTAGACAGGGTTCCAATTTGCTAAGAGTCCTTGTTATTCCAGTAGTAAGGGAGCCAGAAAAGTAGGAGCCCTGCTTCCGAGACTTTTGTCTGGTCCTGGCTCTACCATTGACTAATTGTATAACTATTCACTAACTGTGCAAATAGGTTCCCTCTTCCCTTAATGTAAAATGGGTATAATAACATATACCTTGCCTATTTCATAGAATGGTTATGAGAATCAGCTGATAAAATGTTCAACGCTTTGTAAACTGAAAAATTCAATAGAGAGAATTTTTAGAGCTTATATCCTGAATATTTCTAAGCAAGTTTTACAATTATTTTATAATTTAAAATATACAGTAGGGCCGACCCCGTGGTGCACTCGGGAGAGTGCGGCGCTCGGAGTGCAGCAGCGCTCCTGCCGCGGGTTCAGATCCTATATAGGGATGACCGGTGAGCTCACTGACTGAGCACAGTGCGGCCGGTCACAAAAAAAACAAAAAAAATACAGTAAAGCCATTCTTATCAAATAGGGTAGGGGAATATTGTAGGAAGGTCAGGGGAAGCCACTATACTAAAAATTTAGTGGTGTATTTCCCAAACTGTAATCTGCGAAATACTACTTATGCATAAAGTAATTTCTGTGATTAAATACATTTGGGAAAGACGGGCCTAAACAAAGTTTATATACTGTAGACTTTCTTGGAGCCTCTATATGCTAATCTGCATGGTGAGTCTCCAGAAAGAAGCTCGAAGATGCAGTTTTTCCCTAACTTATTTGGCCACAGAACCTTTTTTTAAATGGAACATTTGCTAACTCGGAACCACAGAACAATTTGAGAAATACTGATCTAAATTTAAATTCTCTTCCTAGAACATAATGAAATAAAGTTCTTTCTAGAACTTTATATATACAGGTCACTTTCTTTTTTTTTTTGTCCTTTTTGAGACCGGCCACACCGTGCTCAGCCAGTGAGCGCTGTGAGCGCACCGGTCATCCCTATATAGGATCTGAACCCGCATCGGGAGCCCTGCTGCTCTCCCAGCGCTGCACTCTCCCGAGTGTGCCACGGGCTTGGCTCTTTTTTTTTTTTTTACAGATCACTTTCACATCCATTACCTGGTTTGATAGTTTAGGAAATGCTAATCTAAGCTAACAGAGTTACTATGAATGAAAGTTTAATTTAGAATTCTGAGTTTCCTGGAAGTCAAGGCAAAGGAATTGGGATATGTTTTCTAGTTTTCCTGATGGTAACTTAGTTCTAAAGGAAATGGAATTTGAGTTGCATTATTGAGCCCATTGCTTTGGGGGAATAGTAGAGAAGGTGACATGGTCTTTTGGCACAAACTCTATTGTCCTGAAGTGCATAAATTATGGTTCCTCCAATATAAGAGGAGGCCCTGCCAGCTGGAGCAAGGAGGAGGACTTCCTGGAAAATGTGGGGCATGGCCTGGTCCTCAAACGATGGGAAGGGTTTGGACACAAAGAGGTTGGGAGAGAGGACATAATAGTACCCTGGGAAGCCATAGCAGAAAAGTAGCTGAAGAATATTGGCAGCTATGAGCAGAACAGTGAGGGCATTGGTCCATCTTAAATCCTCACTGGGCTAAGGTGAGATCTCAATAAGTGATAAGGCTCCCTACATAATCCCCTCAAGCCTCCAGCTTCATAGGCTGGGCTGAGACTTGTCATGGAAGATTAGAGCTAGAAAGGCCTTTAATGATCCTCTGATCTGAGCTGCCAGTTTTATAGATGGGAAAACCGAGGCCCCATTGGGGAAGAAACCTAGGACTGACTTGCCCCCTGCCCTCAGGAAATGATGTACATCTGGAATGGTTATGCTGTGATTGGAAAGCAGCCGGCACTCACGGACGGGATACTTGAGATTATCACCAAGGCCCTAGGACTGACTTGCCCCCTGCCCTCAGGAAATGATGTACATCTGGAATGGCTATGCTGTGATTGGAAAGCAGCCGGCACTCACGGACGGGATACTTGAGATTATCACCAAGGCTGAAGAGATGCTGGAAAAGGGCCCAGGTGACTATCCTCAGGCCCTTGAACCTGTCCGGCTAGGTCAGGGCTTTGCAGCTGAGGGTTTCCACTGCCAAAAATGTCCTTCCTCACTTATTTCCCCTGGTAGCTGTCCTTTGTCTTTCTAGACTGAGCTTCAGTATCAGCTCCTCCGAGCAGCTGTCCTTTGTTCCCCGTGTAGGATCAAGGCTATCTCTGGGCTCCCGCAGCCCCTGGGCTTCCTTCAGTCAGTCCTGACCACACTGGATTGGCCTTGTCTTGGTATCTGTCTTTCCCTCTCAGACATGAGCCCCCAGAGGACAGGGACCATGTCTGATTCACCTGTGTCCTTGGGTCCAGCACAGAGTAGGGCCCCATGAGTAACTGCTGCAGGAATGAACAAGCCTGTCTCCTTCCCTCACACGCCTGTTTTCAGAGAATGAGTACTCAATGGATGACGAGTGCTTGGTGAAATTGTTGAAAGGCCTCTGTTTGAAATATCTGGGCCGTGTCCGGGAGGCCGAGGAGAATTTCAGGAGCATCTCTGCCAAGTAAGTGCCTCTGTGGCTGCTCTTGTTGGGCCTTGGTGTCCTGGGAGAATTTTCAGGGCTTCTCCATCCTCATGCCCACTACAGTGGTTGACCCTGACCAATCCCCCATTCACCACAAATGGACTAGTGTCTACTCTGTGCCAGGGCCTGTCAAAGCACAAATAATTCAGACCCAGCCCCCACAAGGCCAGCGAATTGCCCTGCTACAGGAGCCCATCCATGTTGTTTCGAACGAACAGTTTCCCCTGGAGTTTGTAATTCAGCGACTCTGCCCTTACCCATGGGGAGCACAAGAGTAACCAAGCTAGGATAACCAGGGCTGTGCTAGAGGAAGCACAGAGGACAGGAGGTACCCCAAGGAGGGACCTAAACCTAATGGGAAACACCAGAAAGGGCTTTTCAGGGCGGACATTTAAATTGGGAAGTTTATCAGGCACAGAAAACAGGGAGAAATAGTTTTAAATGGAGCAGGTATGGCATGTATAAATGCCTGGACATGGGAAAGACACCTGAGGTTGGGGTGACAGTGATTAGGTCCTTCTTTGCCTGGGTGAAGTTAAAGAGAGAAGGGGTTGGAGATGTAATGAGGAGGGCTAGACTGAGAATGGCCTGGGTGTTTTGTTCACAAGGCTCACCTTTATCCTGCAGACAGCAGAGAGCCAGGAGGGATACCGGACAGGGCAGACTTGGGCTTAAAAGGATATCTCCAGGCAGCAGGGAGGGTGGGTCAGAGGGGACCAGATCTGAGACAGGAGACCTCCCAGTTTAATAAGCCATTCAACCTGGAGAAAAGGGGGTTGGGGCTGAGGTAGGGGTGAACTAAGGACATGACAGGAGCCATAGGTTGTCAGGGAGTTGGGGCCCAGGACACAGGATTGGAAAGCTCTATGTTGATCTGACTTTTGAGGGCTAGGTGGTGGGAACCTTCCAAAATTGGAATTCAGATCAGGAAATCCTCACACGAAGCTCGGGAAGACTGGGGAGGAGGAACCTGAAGGATGTCTCAAGGGCAAAGCCTGGGAGCCATGTCCTTTCCTGTTCTGCAGTGAAAAGAAGATTAAATATGACCACTACTTGATCCCAAATGCCCTGCTGGAGCTGGCATTGCTGTTTATGGAGCAAGGCAGAAATGAAGAGGCCATCAAACTCCTGGAATCTGCCAAGTAAGGCTTGGATAACCTCGATCTGTCCTTTGCTCCTTCTGAGCTCTGAAGCTCAGGAGCTGGCTAGGGGCCCAGGCAGCAGTGGGTGAGATTGCTGGCGAGGGTAGTATGTCAGTCCAGAGGCCAGGTCTGTGTCCCTGGGAACCCAGTTCTCACCTGGCATAGGAAGGCTTTTTCTTCAGCTTACAAGTGAGCACTTGGAATCCCAGAGGCCAGAAGTAAGTTGCCTCTGGTAACACCACAAGCCAGCTGCAGGGGTGTTGTGAGGACCCAGGTCTCTTGCCTTCCAGTGCAGGGATCTGTCTCCTGAAACCACCCATTCAAGCTTAGGGACCCAACAGGACCAGAAATGGTTCCAGAGGGCATGATACCAGGAGTGAGGGGCTAACACACCCTTGCAGTTAATCCTTCCATTGGGCAGAGCTCAACTCTTTCTTTGGACATGGACAGGGATTTAAGCCTCTAAAAACCTTCCTTGTCTGGAGGTGTTCATACAGCTCAAACTGAAGGAACAGGACCTCTTGGAACAAGCAGCCTCATGTGTCTGATTCTCTGCTCATTTCCAGGCAAAACTACAAGAATTACTCTATGGAGTCAAGGACACATTTTCGAATCCAGGCAGCCACACTCCAAGCCAAGTCTTCCCTAGAGAACGGCAACAGATCCCTGGTCTCATCCGTGTCCTTGTAGCTTTGTGCAGCACTCCCAGGCTGTAAGACTAACAGAGACAGCCGGACAGAGCTCCTGGAAACATTTCAAAAGATCCCCTCCCCCTGACCTGCCCTGCCTTTGGAGTCCACCGGTGCTCCAGTGGGATGGCATGACACGGGTATCCATGCAGAAGCAAAGCCGGCATTTTCACCAGTGTGACCAATGACCTTTGCCAAGGGCAGAGCAGGTGGAGCCTCTGCCTGCCCTATCACACATACGGGTACTTGTTTTTCACTGTGATGTTTAAGAGAATATATGAATATTTACATTTTCCTTACAAATACTTTGATGGGATCATAGTTGGCTCTGAAAAAACCCAACCACAACCAACCACCTGTAAATCTTTGTTTTCACCCATATTGATCTGAAGGTAAATCTCTTTATATGACGCCAAAGGCCAAATTGCTTTTCAAACTTCAGCAGGGTCTCAGCTTTCGGGGCTGGAAGGACTTTCAGAGGACCTGAGGAATGCCCAGGAGGGTCTGCGCCTCAGGCTTTGACATTGCTGGGGGTTGGGCACAGAGGCCACACAGATACCCACTACCTTACTTCTCACGCTTCATTCCCTTTGTAACTTTCCAGTTTAAAAATCAAGCATGTCTTTTTAGTGACATAAAATTTGTAGAAAAGTCAATCACTACCAGTAGGGAATGGGGACAAGGCCTGACGGAGGAGCTGTGCGGCCTTTTCTGTGCCAAAGCCAGGAAGTTTAGGGGGTGGAAGAGGGAGGTTCACAGAAACCAGTCTGCATCCTTGTTGTATGCCAAAGTGAAACCACTGGGAATAATTTATGAAACATAAAAAAAAATCTTCTGTACTTCAAGGTACATTTATTTACTGATAGCATTTTTCTTAGAAACAGAATGGTTATTCTTGGCCTGTTGTATATGTTTTAGATTTTTCAGTTAAGAGAAAAGAGATATTTAAGTAATAAAATTTGTACACTTAAGAGATCATGCAACATCTATTTCAGTAAAATATGTGTTGCTTGAATTCTTGGGCAGGGCAGAAAGTCTTGATCAGGGGCCAAATGGCCCATGTATGTTTTATTTAGACAACACGATGTTTTAAAAATTTTTAAATAAGTTACCAACATTTAAAAATAAGGAGATTTCACAAATGAATCTGGTTTCTGGCCTCTAATAAAAGAAGAAAAAAAAAAAAAAGATGTGGCAACATTTAGCCTCATTCCCACAAAGCAACAATCAGCTGGAGCTAAGTAGAGGCTACTTTAAACACTTATATTACCTTTCTGGCCCCTAAAAGCATCTGATTTGCAACCTCTGGGACTGTTAAAGTGAGAACTCAAGTGACCAACACCAGATTTTACCATTCATGTTATAATGTCAGCACACTTCAACTTAACTATTTCCCTGGATAATGTACAACAGTAAAAATATTCATCTGTGAATATGTGACTCCCAAATGCATGAACACAATTTCTCTCAAGAGAAGAACCACAGTCAATGTTTCTGATCTTGGTGTATTTAGTGCTTTTGAGCATCTACTAGGGGCTGGGTTGATATATGAAATTCATCTGTGAATATGTGACTCCCAAATGCATGAACACAATTTCTCTCAAGAGAAGAACCACAGTCAACGTTTCTGATCTTGGTGTATTTAGTGCTTTTGAGCATCTACTAGGGGCTGGGTTGATATATGAATATATTAGGTAAAGCATATTCTCATTAGGAAAAAAAGCAAAAACCCTCATCAAAGATCATCTTCTGCACTTAGTATAGTCAGAGTAGAAATGCTATAAGATTTTTTTCTCATTTTGTCAGAACTAGACAAAATAATGCTCTCCATGGAGAGCAAGCCTTTGCAAGCTATCTCTTCTGCAAAGCCTAGATGCTGAGAGACCAACCTGTTTCTAGGCAGTTGGGCAGGACAGGATGAGAGGGGTGATTAGAGACAGGCTGTTGAATGAGGATGGACTTCTGTGGCTTCCCCACATATTAGAATGCTGCTTATTGCTGTATCAAACATAATTTTCAACATTGCAGTTTCAAAAAAGTTATCTCAACGTTCATTTCAGATGCTTTTGCTTTTATTTTAAAGCTTTATGTCAGGATGGTGTCCTTGTCAACATTTGCTTTTCGCTTGATTTCCTTCATTAATTAGCATATGTCACTTTTACCTCTGCAGCCCTGGTTGTGGGCTGGATGATAAGTCAAATCAGTGGGTTTTGCCTCCTTTATCCCACGTGCAGCTTCTGAGATAGTCTATCAAAAACATTTATGTGAAGGAGAGTGAAAACTTTTTTTGGTGGCTGGCTGATATGGGGCTCTGAACCCTTGACCTTGGTGTTACAACACCATACTCTAGCCGACTGAGCCATCCAGCCAGCCCATGAAAATGTAGGTATCTAACAACACCATATCATTATGCAGGGGCCTTTGAAGGTAGAAATTCTGTCATAGGCTTCTCAGTGTCTTCTTTGAGTTGTTTTTGGTCATTGCTTCTCTGATAGTGGAGGCTTTTCCAGAACATCTGCCCTGGAGAGGCAGCTGATCAGGTGGAGAGTTTTGTCCCGGAAACCTGAATTCTAGTCCCAGCTTTCCTACTGATTTTCAGAGTGACCTTGGGAAAGTCAGAGACTCTAAGATTTAGCAATTTGGATTAGATTAAGGCTTTTTCCTGCTGTCTACAGTTCTGATTCTAACTCTAGCAAATCTGTTTTCTGGGTTTTCCTTTTCTTTTTCTTTGTAGTTATTTGTGATTTCTTGTTATTTATATTGTTTTCTGAGTTTTCATCTGCAAAATGAGGCAACAGATATACCTTTCTACCAAAGCCTTGTGTGTCCAAGCAGTTCAACCAGAATTAGGCTTCCTTAAACGGGGTTCTGCGGTAGCCAGGACACCCAGAGAGCAAGTAATCCTCATTTAGAGAAAGTCTAGATCCTGTGCCACACAGATGAACTCAGTTGTTAGCAACTGTGTAACATGATCTGAACAGGCCCTTGGCAACAGAAAGTCTACCTCAGCGTCTCTCTGGTCCCAGGCCCTCAGAGGCAGGCTGGTTTCTAGCAGTGTGCTACTCCCTATCAGCTCTCCCACGTGTTGGCAGGTTTCCCTATTCCTTATCTCTCGAGTCAGGATGGGAGTGTTTCCAAGACAGTTATCGTCATTCATAGCAAAAAGTCATGACCTGACATCAAAGTTAGGACTCTAAAAGGCCAACACCAACCCAAGACTTGGCTGAGGTCCAGGTGGGAGATTCTCAGCAACTGAAGAATGGCACCAGGAGGTTTTCAGAAAGCCCCAACATGCTGAGTGCTAGAACCATTCTTTTTTTTTTTTTTTTTCCTTTTTGTCTTTTTTTGTGACTGGCAACGGATTGCAACCCTCAGTGTCGCGCCCGTACCGGACCGGGACTGGCAACGGGATCGCAACCCTCGGTGTTGCGTCCGCACCTCACTCAGCCAGTGAGCGGCCGGTCTGTATGTGGGATCCGAACCCTCGGCGGGAGCGCCACTGTGCTCCCAAGCGGCGCACTGTAGCAGTGCGCCACCGGGCCGGCCCCTAGAACCATTCTACAAGGGAATCAAATCCAGACACTTTTCTCTGAATTTACTCTCAAGCTCATCCTTCTAAGATGATGGGGAGTCAACAACAGTCTTCTTGTTTGCTTCTAATTTAAAGCCTAAGAGAGTGCCTTTTCAACCATGATTTCCTTGTGTCCTTAGCACCATCACAATCAGTAATAAATAAGAGGTGCATGGATTTTTTTTTTTTTATTTTAAAGATGACTGGTAAGGGGATCTTAACCCTTGACTTGGTGTTGTCAGCACCACGCTCTCCCAAGTGAGCTAACCGGCCATCCCTATATAGGGATCCGAACCCGTCGCCTTGGTGTTATCAGCACCACACTCTCCCGAGTGAGCCACGGGCCGGCCCTAGAGATGCCTCGATTTTGAAATCCAAGCAGCAAAATGGGGACTTCTTATGCTCACCTTCAGATGCAGCTTTCCAAGGTTGGAAAGTGCCTTTCTGCTTGGGTTAGCACAGTTCCTTCGAAATCTTGTGCAAAGTTCATTACTGACTAATAGGTTAAGTCCACAAACAAGAAGCTCATTTGGGGGCTTGAAAAACCCATTTCTAAATGAGCAATCTATGAATTGCTTACACTGTATAAAGCCAATTGGTAAGTGACAAAATGTAATAAATCCACTTGGAAAGGCATACAATTAGTTACTGAAGGTCTCTAGGACTGCTAAAAGTTGACATTTAAGTTTGACACCTTACAAATGACTGGATTCTTTTTTTGTTCACATTAACAAACACTTCATAACATCAGACACCATATTCTCTGGGGGAAAGAATAATAGCTAATATTAAGTGCTTACTGTCTACCAGTTGCTATTCTAAGCATTTTACATTTATGTAATCCTTATAACTACCCTATGAAGTAGGGATGATTGTTGCCATGTTACAGATGAAAAAACTGAGATACAGATTAAATAATTTGCATTAAGATCACACAGCCACTATGCAGTAGCAAGATTTAAAGCCAGGCAGCTTGAACTCTAAAGCCCATATTTTGTTGGTGGGTCAACTGTGGGTCAAATTGGTGGTCAAGCTGTAAAATTATCAGTTTAAAGTTGAATCCAACTTATACTGACTCTTGGGCCACTGTTAAGGACGGAAGAGGGACTGGCTAATAACCAACCACGAGAATTCCTTGGCGGAGAACACCTGGAACATTTGTGTAGAATGGTTCCCCTTGACGACTTGGCATCATAAAGTAGGGAGAGGGTCTGACTTGGACAAAGACAAAAGAAAAAAGGAACCCTTAAGCAACACTAGTTGATCATAAATCATCGAGGGATGATGGAGGAAAAGGCATGATCTAATCTGCCCTGGGATAGGTAGAGTTCCGATCTACCACAGAGGTGGGAAGTGAAGCCTTTGCACAGATGCGGAGCCTCGGTCCTGGATGGAGGCTTGAGGCAAAAACCACATACTAGAACAGGTTTGATATAATAAGAGGTGGGAACACTGGAAAACTGGGAAGTGTATGATGCTAAAGGCACTCAAAAACTTTCTTTTTAGTTTAAGCACCTATGAGTGCTTGGCTGGCCAATCACATCACATCTTGTGGGTCAAAGTAATCCATGGGCCAGAAATTTGTCACTCTTGGGCTACAGTTGACTTTCTGTAGTTATCTCTGGAAAAGAGGTTGTGAGCAAATTCATAGTCTGAGAATAGCCTGGTATAAAAATATCCAACTTTTGTGTTCTATTAATAGTGGATAGTGGGATAGTGGATAAAAGCATAGACTGTATTCACAACTTAGTCGTACTGCTTCATTCCTTTGAGAATCAGTTTACTCTTACATAAAATGGGACAATGCCAACTGATTCAGAGGACTGCCGAGGATAAAAAGAAATCATGTAAGTAAATAGTCTAGGTAAAGTTATTGGCCCACATATATTGTGGGAAAACAGTGATGGGTTTGGCCTGGGGGATGACTAAATCAGTGGCTATCATGCTGCCATTAAGGTTTTTCTATCTGAGGGCCGGCCCGTGGCTCACTCGGGAGAGTGTGGTGCTGATAACACCAAGGCCATGGGTTCGGATCCCTATATAGGGATGGGCGGTTGGCTCGCTTGGGAGAGCATGGTGCTGACAACACCAAGTCAAGGGTTAAGATCCCCTTACCAGTCATTTTTTTTTAAAAAAAGGTTTTTCCATCTCTTGGCTTTGTTCCTGTTATTCTCTTGAACTGGCTTCTCTGCATGGCAAGAGTACATGGCAATTTAGGCCTCACATCCTTAGTGTATGGCCAGTGAAGCAAAGGGCTTCTTTTCCTAACTCTAATATGAAAAATTCCAGATAAAGCCAATTAATCTCACTTGGCTCAAATGTCCATCCCTTAGGCAGTGGTTCTCAAAGCGTGGTCCCCAGACTAAGCAGCATTAGCATCATCTGGGAACTTGTTAGAAATGCAAATTCTCAGACCTAGAAACTGTAGGATTGATGCCCAGCAATCAGAGATTTAATAAGCCCTCCAGATGAATCTGATGCACATTAAAGTTTGAGAACCACTGCCTTATAGGTACTGTAATTGGCCCATCTTTGGTCATACTGCCAGTGGGGTTATTACTAGAAGGGAAGATGGGGTACCGGGCAGACAAAAACACCACAAATCTACTATTATTTCCCTTCTTTCAAACGTTGATATAGAGGAACTATGATTTGTCACATTCCCAGGTAAAGGGGAGGATGAGGACAGTGGGTGTAGTTTGTGATAGTGGTTAGGGACAAGGCTCATCAGAAAGCTGCCTGCTCAAGGGGAGCTTTGCCTTTGCACTTCTTGCTACCCTCCAAGCTCCTTATAATGTCTGTATTTCCCAGTGGGAACTTCCTCAGGATGGTAGCTTATTCTCCATCAGAATTATTCAGATTCCTTAGGACCTCACCTTTTCCCCATTTTCTCCTTCCCTTCATTTAATATCTGTTAAGCACCTACTATCCTGATCTCATGGGGCTTATTCTGATAGGGAAGACATATAAGTAAACAAAGAATTAGAGCCACAGAATAAATAAATGGGATGTATTTGGTCCAGAGGATAAAAAGCCAGCTATTTCAACAATGTGGGGAAGAGAACTGCAGAGCAGAAACAAAATATAGTACAAAGAGACAAGACAGAAAAGACCTTGCATTTTATTATTACTTTGGCAGCTGGCTGGTACAGGGATTGAGCCTTAGACCTTGGTGTTATGAGCACCACACGCTAACGAACTAAGCAAACCAGCCAGCCCTAAGAGCTTGCATTTTAGAAGGCACAGATAGTCTGTGAGGCTAGATGATAGAGAACTATGAAATGGAGAGGCAGAAAGCCAACTCATCTCTGTTAAGGAGCTTAGATTTTATTCTCAGCACAGTGGGAAGCTATTAAAGTTTTAAGAAGGGGAATGACATCATCCAATTTAGTCACTTATTTTAGCTGCTGTGTAAAATAATAGATTATATAGGGCTGAACACGGAAGTTAGCCTCTAGTACCAATTGTTTTGGGTTTGTCTCAATTGCCAATAAAAATACTCTATCTTCTTTTCATCAACTACTAGACTTAGGGAAAAAAAGAGAATGCTTTCCATATGCCTTAGCATATGACAATCAGGCACTAAGACTCAGTGTGAGTTGGCATTTCATGTTCTTTGCTCTTCACAGGACATCAGAAACCCAATTATCAAAATCTATACACATGAGCAGCCTTTCTTACTTCAAAGGTAGCTTCAAAACCATTAACTCAAAGTTTAAGAGTCCAGAGAGCAGTACTTGCAACAATGGCCCATCTGAAAATGCCTTACTAGAGTAAGTAGCACCTGTCTCACAACCACACAGAATGCCTATGAATTATTCTTCTTCATGTCAAGATAATACCAAATAGTAATTATAAGTGTAAGCAAGGATCACGAGGACTGGTTTGTGGAAAACAACTTCCTGTCTCCTCACTCTGCACCCCTGTAAAATTATAGCTATTTATAATCTGCTTGCAGAGTGCAGCTACCCTCGTGGATAGAGGATCATTATTCTGCACTGTTTCTTTTTCTTTTTTTTTTTTTGTCCTTTTTGTGACTGGTAAGGGGATTGCAACCCTTGGCGTGGTGTTGCCCGCACCGCACTCAGCCAGTGAGCGCACCCGCCATCCCTATATAGGATCCGAACCCGCGGCGGGAGCACTGCTGCGCTCCCAGCGCTGCACTCTCCCGAGTGCGTGCCACGGGATCGGCCCATTCTACACTGTTTCAAAGCTAAGGATTGGCTCTAATTCTGGAATTGGCAGAATGTAGCCTATTCCTGTACGTCTTGCATGGATAATGATGGAAGCCAATCTCAATATCTTCCTGATAGCACAGTCCAGGCTTCCCAATTCACACAATGCCTAAAACTTGCTTTCTTAAGAGACTGGATTAGCTACCATGGTGCCCCACCAGAGAGAAGCTGGGCTTCTTTTTTTTTTTTTTTTGCATAGCCAACCAAATCTTCTCACAGGCATTCAAAGTACTAGCATGTACAAAACCATCTTAGGGCAAGCCCTTAGTTACCTTTTTCAACTTCTCAGTGCCAAGAGGTTATTACATCAGCTAAGATGCATTTTCATGCAAATGTAATCAGTTGACTGTGAGAAATGATTGCTACCCATTAGTTCTGTACATAGAGTTACCACCAAACGGTCTACATTTCTGAATTATGCTAAAAAAACTTATCGGCCCTGTGGCTCACTCGGGAGAGTGTGGTGCTGATAACACCAAGGCCAAGGGTTCGGATCCCACATAGGGATGGCCGGTTAGCTCACTGGGTGAGCATGGTGCTGACAACACCAAGTCAAGGGTTAAGATCCCCTTACCGGTCATCTTTAAAAAAATAAAAAAATAAATAAAAAATAAAAAAATAAAAAAACTTATCTTTTTGCCTGTTTACTACTTTCAGTCTCAGGACCACAGGCAACTTTGTTTTTGACTACTTTATTAAGTGTTGCTCCTTTTTAAAAATGCATGCTTCCTTATGAAGGAGCTTTGTATGCAGAGAATCTGTCACCTCAATGTTCGTTGTTCTATAAAATCATACTGTTTTACACCACAGGGTAGACATTGATAGTAGGGGGCAAGTCTTCTAATGCTGATTTAAGAGATTCCCTATAAAGAACACTCACAGAATTTAAAAAGTTTAGGTCAAGTAAAGTACGAATATCTGAAAATATTTCATCTTGTTGGGTTTTGTATTTAACAGGATAAGATTCTTCTGTTTTTTCCTGTTCAGGCTGTTCAGACATTTCAAATCACACACCCAAGCTTGAACACTTCTTGCCCATATCTAAATAGGGTGCGCCTATTATTTCGCTTTAGACACTTAGAAGCTGTCAAGCTTCTAAGTATATGATTAGGTAATATTAAATGTCAAGCAACAAAAATACTTCCCAAAAGTATATATGCCTAGTATCTAGAGATTTAAAAGTAATTTTAAAGTAATGCATTAATTTATACATGACTGTTTTAAAGGATTAGATATCTTAAGGAATATTCTTATGTAATCAATTCTTTTTTTTTTTTCCTTTTTATCTTTTTTACTGACCGGCAACAGGATCGCAACCCTCGGTGTTGCGCCCACACTGCGCTCAACCAGTGAGCAGGAACCGGTCTCCACATGGGATCCGAACCCTCGGCGGGAGCACCGCCGCACTCCCAGGCGGCGCACTCTCCAGTGTGCCACCGGGCCGGCCCTTATGTAATCAATTCTAACTTTAGCCCTTCACAGCTGTATTATAACCTTATTTAACAACTCAGTAGAAGCCAAAATTGATAATTCTTAACATGGTATGTGGAGAACAAAGTTAAAGAATACAAAGTGCCTAAAAAGGAAGCATTCTGCTCAATACTGGTTTCTTCAATATTAGTGCCAAACTTCTGTGAAAGAAGCCTTGTAATAAAGAAAGACTAACTGCAACGTGGAAGATGATTTTTAAAAAGTTCATTTGCTAATTTTAACAATCTAGAAAGAAAGTCTGACTGTAATATTTGACGACATAGCCATCATGTTTAAGTAGAAAACACAAGAATAAAAAAAATTATCATTGAAAATATTGCACAACTTCAGCTGTTTCCTCCAAATTTGCTTTATGTAATTGGGTGAATACAAATTAATGAAATAAATTTAAGCAAGATACATGTAACAATTTAACAGAACCTGATAAGCTAATTTGTTTCAATTTTTCTCAAATTCATCTTTAAGTTTTTCCATCATGGGGCTCATAAGAAAATTAACCAACATATAGATATTACAGTTGAATGCCAAATCTTTAAAAAGTACTTATGACATACTAAATTCCTCTATAGTGCAATTATGAAGAACCTTTAAGATACTTGTATGCAATTATGAAGAACCTTCAAGATACTTGTATTTTGTATGTAGAAAAGTGTTAGGGTCAAATATTCAACTCAACACGAAATAATAAGAAACACTTCTGATTTCTTTGTTACGTTGAGATTGCTTCTCCTTTTGCTAATGAATGATTTTTAGATGGAATATCACTGAGCTGAACAAATAAGTCACCTTTGAGTAGTACATAAGGAAAAATAAACACATGCTAAGTGGATAAAACATTACTACTACACCTTTACTAGACCATCTCTACCTCTAACACTTCAGAAGCTTAGAGATTTAGAGTATTCTTACATTAACTGCAAGAAAAGATAAAGGAGAAATTCCTTCTTTTTTGAAATCACAACTATGAAGTCATGTGATTATACAAATCCTGCATTTGTGTGCAAAACATGAAACACATTTATCTTTATTTTTCCTGCTTAGTCTTATAAGTCAGCTAGCAGGACTTAACAGATACCTTTCCAAGAAACAGAGACTGAGATGTGTTTTTATATAATTTCAATACCCTCAACACTACAGTAATGAGAGATGCAGTATCCTTTTGCTATGGTTCAAGACAACAGGGAAGGAGGTCACACGAAAGAGAATAAATCAAAATTTTTACAACTGAGAAACTACTTCTCGTTAAGTTTCACCATGGTGCCACGTTCATTTTTACATAAGTGGAAGTATGGTGACATAATTCAAGCTCAATAAATCAGAAATCTTAATATTTAAATTTACCTTGACTTTTATTTATCACCATATTAACAACCAAAATAATTAGATAAAACACATAGGAAAGGGAAATATTAAACCTCACTTTACTAGAGTTGGTTTCTTGACACATTAACTCATTTTTTATAGAAAAGGGATAGTGCATCTCAGTTTGCTTACAAGCTAGGAGATCACTTTGAATTCTGCATTTCCTAACTGCAAACAGAATATAGCACTTATAACAGGTTATAAATAAACTGGTTTTCAAGCATAGAGCCAGCCCCAACGATAATAATACACTATTTAAAAAGACCTAAGGCAATGAATTCCATTTCCAATGGAAAAAAAAGAACTGTGCAAACAAGCTTAAAACTACTTTTTTTTTTTTGTGCCAGTGTTATAAAATGTAGCTTTAATAAAACCTTGACCCAAATGCCAGCAACTTCAGAAAAGAGTGGGAGGTGGGGTGGGGTGGAGAAGAAAGTTATTTAGGAAAAAATAACCACTATCTTTTTCCTAATCTTCAACACACACAATTTAAACATCTCAACCCTTGGCTTGGTGTTGTCAACACCATGCTCAGCTAGTGAGCCAACCAGCCATCCCTATATAGGATCCGAACCTGTGGCCTTGGTGTTATCAGCACCGCACTCTCCCGAGTGAGCCACAGGCTGGCCCTTAAAGTAGATTGTTTTGGCGAGGCCATTCTCAACTTAAAAGGAGAATGGCTGTCCTCATTACAGATTATCACAATCATGAGCCCTAGAAACAAAAATTCCCCACAAGTGAAATTTTATCTTCAACTCCTCATGCTTAACAAAATTATTTCATAAGTTAGATATAAGATTTTTTTCATATCACTAAAAACCCTGGCAAACAATTTTACTGGCTACATAACCTACTAAAGTATTCCTGTATCACAATTTACTTAACTATACACCTCTTCTTATTGGACAATTATGCAGCTTGCATTTTTTTTTTTCCACTAAGTAAAACTATGGTGAATATTTTGTGCATGAAGCTCTAGTGGGGGAAGTGAGGTATATGTTTTGGGATGGATTCCTATGACTTTTCTCTCAAAGGATTTGGACCTTGTCTCAAAATGTACAGGTCCCTTCAGATATTGCTAAATCGCTTTCAAATAACCAGTTGACAAGGCCACCAGCAATGTTGGTCCTAGTTCACACATTCACATAGGTGGATGATTTTAACTACCATCAACTGTCATCTATATGTGCAAACAGCATATACACAATGGTGAGAATTCATACCACCATTTCTTAGTTATTTTTATATGAAAATTCTTCTTGACTACTACAATATTCTCTTGTATTAACTAAGGTGTTCCAATATATTAAATGTCTGACTTCCAAAATGCAGGAGAAAAAGCAAATTTTTCAAAAGCAAGTCTCTGAAAATAGACCTCTGAAATGTATAAATTTATTAAAACTTACTCCCGGATCTTTTTTTCTGATCCATCTCTTCCAGGGTCATAAACTCCTTTAGGCAGATGCTGTATAAGGCCTATTCTTTGAGCTATCCTAATTTGTTCCTCTTCAGTCAGCTGAGTTGCTAGCCGAGTTTGGCTAGGTGTTGGATGATAGACTGGAACTGGAACTTGTTCCTAAGTTTTAAAAAACAGAGAAAAGAATTATTTTTGAGAAGCCTGTTTTCTGGGGGTTATGTTTTCTTTTTCTTTCTGGGTTTTTTGTTTGTTTGTTTGTTTGTTTTTTGTGCCAGAGGTGAGAGGGAAAGAGGGCCCTGGAGAGAGAGAGGAAGCTGAGCTAGTGTCCAGCAGTATGATTGTGTTTCATCCTGCCTTAACTTAAGCTACTGGAGTAAAACAGACACCCCCCACCCCCAAAAAATTCACTTTGATATCTCACCTCCTTTTAAAGGATTAAATACAAGCTTCACTGAAAAACTGGCATTGAATGTTAAAGTATTTCCACATGAAGATCATATAACCCAGATATATTCATTCTTGATACACAAATAGACAAGTCAATATAAATAGATCTGCCATGCAATTACCAGTTTGACTGTACTCAATATTAACTAAATATTCTGTAGGCTGCAATGAAGTTATGGCCGCAGTATACCAATATTTACATTAGAATTGGCCGTTATAGACTTATTTTTTTCTTTCCATATAGACAATAACCTTATAATTCATTATTTACCTTTTTGAAAAAATTGATAATGTTGCAATAAATATAAAATAGCTTTTGGGTTTGAATACATATTCTGAGTGACCCATTAGTAATTAATCACCACAAATATGGTTGTAGGCACCTTTGCCTTAGATATTCACCTCTTCAAAGTTTAATATTTAGTAGGCACTTTCAATGCAGAAAATTTCTATGGTGGGAGTCAAAAAGACTGTCCCTGCTCTGTCACTTATTAGCTATATGACTTTGACCAAGTTATTTAACCTCCATGAGCCTGAATTTCTCCATACGTAAGGTACTAGGGCCACAGTAAAGATTAAATGAAAACTGCAAGTACTGTCCTTGTTATTATACCAGACATACATAAAAGCTCAGTAAATAAATGGTGGTTACTATTATTGCAGCTCTACTATGTGTGACTATAGAACAGTATTCCAAAATTTACTTTTTTTTTCCTTTTTGTCTTTTTTCGTGACCAGTAACGGGATCGCAACCCTCGGTGTCGCACCCGCACCGCGCTCAACCAGTGAGCGGACTGGTCTCTATGTGGGATCCGAATCCTCGGAGGGAGTGCCGCTGCGCTCCCAAGCGCTGCACTCTACCGAGTGTGCCACCAGGCCAGCCCCCAAAATTTACTTTTAAGAAATGGATGGGGGGCCGGCCCGGTGGCTCACTCGGGAGAGTGCGGTGCTGATAACACCAAGGCCCCGGGTTCGGATCCCATATAGGGATGGCCGGTTCGCTCACTGGCTGGGCGTGGTGCTGACAACACCAAGTCAA